TATATTCAAGCAACGTTGAGAGAGCTCTCAAATTAGTGAATTCTATCTCAATCTATGGTTCATTCCTCATTAAATTTCAAATAAAATTCAGAGATTCACAGAGAGACCCCAAAACCCTGTATGAGATACTGTAACAGAAGTCAGCCCTGTGGCTATAAAAGATTAAGGAGTTCTAAATGTAACAGAAGCCACAGCTTCTAGGAAGTTTATCCCTTCCCCACAGCCCAGCACAAAATGTATTCATTGGCCAAACGTGAGTCTAAGTCGCGGTCATCTTCCAACTGGACCATTTGTAATGGCATCCTAACACCCATCCCCCGCCTTCCACTCTTGCTTCCCTATTCTCTAAACAGCAGCCAGAGGGCTTCTTTTAAAATACCAATCTGTTGACATCATTCTCCCCTAATGACATCATCACACTTGGAACAAAAATTCTGCCTCTTTTTCCACAGCCCACGATGCCATCCATACCTCCCTGACCCCGTGTCACTGCTTCCTCCCAGCTCGCTTGGCCACACAGGCCCGTGGCTATTCCCCAGGTAAACCTCAGAGACTCTGTACTTGCTGTGCCTCCTGTCTTGACTGCTCCTGCCCCAAACACCTACTTGGTACACCCCCATTTGATTCGGGTGTCTGCTCAACTGTCACCTCATTAGAGGACTTTCCTGATCACCCAATCTAAAATACCACCTCCTCCCCACTATCCCCAACACTTTCTAACCCTTTAGACTGCTTTATTTTCCTCCATTTCTCTTATCACTGCCTGGTATTATATATTCATTTGTTCAGGACTGTTACACCCTGGTCAGAATACAAGCTGATGTGAGAACATCAGGGGCCTCTGCTCACTGCAGCACCCCCAGGGTCTACCACAGTGCCTGGCACACAGTAGGTTCTCAGTGAATACAAGTTGAATGAATGAATGAATTTTAAACGAGCACTTTCTATGTGCCAGACTCTGTATCAGGCAGTGGGATATAAAGATGAATGACAAAAAGGATCTGGTCTTTTCCCTCGGGGAACTTAAAAGTCTAGCAATGAAGGAGATACACACACAATGAATAGAATGGACTGTGATATGAGCTTGAAGTGTTCAAGGAAAACCGTGGAGTAGAGTAGCTGGAGATGAGGTCGAACAGCCTGGGGTCAGATTATGAAGGACCCCAGGCTTCAGGCTAAGGAACTGGGCCTCCATCTGAGCACCCGCTATTCATCACTAAGTAGGAATGGAAAGAGGTAATGAATCTGAAATTAGAATGGACAGAACTTAGTGACTATTTATATGAAAGGAACCGAGAAGTTCTAGGTTTCTAGGAAATGTCACTGCCCACATAGGAGGAAGAACAAGTTGAAAGAAAAAAATGACAAATCTGGTTTTAGAAAAGTTGAGTTTGAGGTACCTATGACCACCATACTAAGTCATAGTGCTTTCTCGAGTGGCTAGAAAATTCTTGGCTTGGAAATTCTGCCACCTTGCTCCTTGGCCTTCTTCTTGGTGGGCGTTTACAACGTCCTAATAGTGCTGAGCCACCTGTATCTCATTTGGGTGCCATCGTGTCAGCTACGATATAGCCATGCATGGAAAGTCCCTACCAAATCTGTCCCTTTAACATATTCTTTAATCACACTTTCTTAAAACAAGGGATACCTGTTTTGCAGTGAAGTCTGACACAAATGCAGAGATTTCCCAGGAATTTTTCCTAGTCAGTGGCTTGAAAGTCCAATTCTAAATGGGGAGACAACATTATTTACAATTTTAAAAATCAAAAAGTTGTCAAGGACAGGCATTGTTGTTGCTTTCCAACTTCACGACGTTATGGAAGCCCCATGCGGACCTATGTATATATCAGCATATGTACATATAGACATGAGGGGGAGATGTTAAGAATGAAAGGACGCAAAAAAAATTTAAGTACAAAAAACAAAACTTATGTTTAACAGTAAAGGACAACTGTATACAGCATAAGGATAGAACCAAATGTCACAATGTCATAAATTCGGGCACCAATGTTTTCTAGCACCTTGAACATCTGGCTGAAGGGTTTGCTGTCAGGAGATGTTGCTCAAATTCCGGCATATCATTTCTCAATAAGTCATCCTCTACAGTTTCAGCCCCTGATTCTTCTCTAAAAAGTAGAAGATAAAGAAGCAAGAAGGAATAGGCTGATTTTTTAAGGCTCCAAGACTCTTAAAGTCAAAGTAAAATTAAAATGTCCCTTTGGAAATTACTGATCAGGCAGGTTTAATTCCTAGGAGGTCTGGACATACTCCTAAGTAGCAAACTGCCTGGTGGAGGTTGGGGAGAGGGGTCAAGTGTCAGAAGAGTCAAGCACAAAATGAGAGGTTATCACTTTTAAACAGAATATTCCATAACCGGAAGGATCCATTTTCCCAACATACCTAATAATAAACCTGTTACACTGCCATAGCCGAATAACTAGAAACAAGGGATCTCTGACTGTATGAAACAGTTTAATCTTCTTTATGAAGGCCAGGGAAAGGGAGCTCATTAATACCCACTGCTTGGTGTGTCAAGCTCTGTCTTTCTTCCTACCTCTTCCATGTCTGGTGTGCCACACACACTGAAGACAGGTCTCAAGGACGGAGATGGGAAGCCAGAGATGTGTCCCAGTAGCAGGACAAGGGTGGGGACGCTTAGGATTATCATGACAACAGTTGAGTTATCCTGCTGACGTGGAAACCAGAGAGAGGACCTTAAAGAATCCTTAGTTGGATGTACTCTGGACGAAAAATGCTCTGCAGTTAATACTACTCAAACATAACTGGCCCATTCAATAATGTCAGAATCAAATAAAACACAGTTGTATAGAACAACAGAAATCATCTAGACTGAGAGGGTCTTTGTTTATCTGTGAGAGAAACAAGGCTCCTGAGATTCGGAGATTCATCCACACTGCCCACCATGTGAGGGCATGGCTGGGGCTGGAGCCCAGGCTGCCTGTGTCCTAGCCCTGGGTTAATTTTGCCCAAGGTGTGAGTCAACTGATTTATGGCTGTAGAACAATTTAAATATACAAATGACTACAGTATTAGCAATAAATACTGGTAAAACATGAAATTAGAAAGCTTAAAGAGAAACAGATTTGAGGAAAAGTCCCTGCTGAGAGAAATATAAATAGTAATATGCTTTAAAGAAATTATCCCTATGGTTAGGACACTTCTTAGAACAAGAATAAAATTATTCAAAAGTCAGCTCTGTGAAAGATTTGAACTTGCACAGGTTATGTACAAGTACATAATGATATATTCTGGGGCAGTAAATTATTATCTTGCATGTAAGAATTTTGATAAAAACCAGAAAACAAACTCATATAAACAAAACAACAAAAATCAGGAAGACCCCAGGAAACCTAATTTGAGTTGACCTTGGCTCTGAAGCGGCAAAACGTGCGGGCATTGTTTTCTAATGAGCTTCTAGGGAAAAAAGCTTGAAAGTCAAAAGCAGAACTGAAGTTTGACAGCCGGAAGAATGTAGTTAATAAATTTTGAGCATCTCATATTTCTAAGGCCTATTCTTATCTATTTAGCCTCTTAAAACTAAAGCAAACAAAAAACAGTCTTCCACCAAATCAAATGCATCCCAGACAATTGCTCCTATTTCAAATTAAGCTTAAACTCCAGGATTGCCAAACCGGCCCCCCAAAAAACTGGCCACTTAAATTACTTCCTTTATACAAGGTTAAGATAGCCCTTTCCTGGCAAAGAGTCAGGAATTGCTTTTATTTCCACTTGTAGATACATAATTTATAAGGTAAAAAAAACACAGACCTTATGAAACGTACCAGGAAAAAACTCATCATTTCCGTTAAAGTTCAACATAAATTCTCAGTCTGCATTTTGTTTTCTTGATTTAAGATGATCTCCTTAATATTCAACCATACTGTGGGTCATGAAACACAGTCCACCAGAGAGAAACTCAGATCCTTAGCAAACCAGTTTCCAACTCCCATGCATGGAAGCCATAAAGATGTTCCGCTAATGGAAAAAATCAGACACCAAAGATGAGGACAATGTAGGTGTTTAGTTTGCTACAGGCAACCCAAGCAAACAGCTTGTCTGCATTGAGTTTAGAGCTTGGGACATGAAAGCCACTTTGGATCCACCTGAAACTGAAAGGAGATACCTATTTAAAAACCCTGAGAGGGCTTCCCTGGTGGCGCAGTGGTTGAGAGTTCCCCTGCCGATGCAGGGGACATGGGTTCGTGCCCTGGTCCGGGAAGATCCCACATGCCGCGGAGCGGCTGGGCCCGTGAGCCATGGCCGCTGAGCCTGCGCATGCGGAGCCTGTGCTCTGCAACGGGAGAGGCCACAACAGTGAGAGGCCCGCGTACCACAAAAAAATAAAATATAAAAACCCTGAGAAACTTGAATGGAATACTGCTTTAAATGCCACACATTCTATAAAAGGTGGAAAGCCATGTAGGTTCATCCACATCCCACCTAAAGTCATTCCCTGTGGGTATCATTCTCCCGCTAGTCCAAGCCACTCTGGACTAGCTGTTCTAAATTCTTTGTGTGAAACATCTTTAAATACATATTGCTAAGTTCTAGATATCTGACTCTGTGTGGGAAAAGCTACACAGCCACTCATGGCCCATAGGCCAACTGTCGACAACTGATGTGATGGGTTAAAAACACCAAGACTGGGTAGTTTTTCTGTGGTTCAATAGCCTGTACTCTCTGAAGATGTCTGAGGGTTTTCCTTCCTGTGAAGTGAAAATAGAAAAACCTCACCTCTAACAATTCTACTCATCATTCTGTATGAATCTTGTACAAAACAGGCAACAAGCACAGAACTTTCTTCAAGTTGCCAGAGCTTTAGTTGGTTCAACAGAATATGTGGTTTAAAAACAAACAAAAAAAAGAGAAATGTGCTTTGATTCCTACTGCTTGATAAATTTCATTTCCCAATAATGAATATCAAACATCTGCAGTGAGAAACCCCAATCACTGAATCTGCAAGCTTTTGCTTTACTTACTTGTATTTTAAGAGCAGCCACTGAATTAACCAGAGTCCTACAAGGATCATGCCATTAATTTCACAAATAGAAAAGGCCCACTGCACCCGGTTAAAATGGTCAAAAAACGTGTCCGGTAGTGGAGGCTGCACCTCCTTAGGAGGTACTCGTTCATGGACGACCGAGATCATCACTGTGGTGAGAACAAAGCAGGAAAGTGCATAAAGAAAGGCCAGGAAAGTCTTGCCCCACTCCATGGGGTACTGGGAGCGCTCTGGCTCTGGCATGGGGATCTTTATCATCTCCTTCCTATACCCATTTGGCATCCCCTTGGGTTTGACCTTGATGCTGAAGCTGCCATCAGGGGCGAGGACGTCTGTGCCAATGCAGAGGTGCCCATTGGCGTGGCCATTCTTGTGTGCTTCCAAGTGGTGCTCCATCTTCAGGGTCTCTATCATGTGCAAGAGCCGCTGCCCATTGTCGGAGGAGACTCGGCACAGGGGGGGTTTTGTGAAATCCTCCTGGGTTAGGTTGATCAAGTCGCGGCCTGTGAAATGTTCCAGAGGCTCACAGTATTCTGGCATAGCATTCTCCTGCAGCCAGTCTGCCACCTTCTTGGGTGACCAATAAACCACTTCCTTCATTGTACTGGCAGACAACACGCGGCCCCCCGCTTGCTCCCGGCAGGTCAGCAGTCACCGTTCCTGCAGGGCAGGACACTGTGCCTCCGTGGTGCACTCATCCTGTCAGGCCTCATGACAGACTTGTGTGGCGAGATGGTCAGGGCAGTTTTTAAACACTTCATGTAGCTGTCCGGGGTTCTTGAGTGCTTGAGCATTAATTCACCTCATTTTTGAACAAGATTCTTCCTTCTGTGGAGGCAAGAGAAAAAAGTCAAGACACTGGGACTCGAAAATCAATCCCCTCAAATTGCAAAACCTTAACATGCATAAGGAAAATGGAAAATCAGGTACTGGTAAAAGTCCATAGTTTTCAAACATGTATTAGTTTAAGGGACCACTGATTCCCTGGTTAGTCTTCCCTAAAAGAGCATTAAATTGGACCTGAGATGGACCAAGTCAAAGGCAGTGGTAGATTTGCTAAGAAATAATTCGACAGCGCTTTAGACATTGCTCAGTACTGATCAGTGATTCTTTTTTTTTTTTTTTTTTTGGTGGTACGCGGGCCTCTCACTGTTGTGGCCTCTCCCGTTGAGGAGCACAGGCACCGGACACGCAGGCTCAGTCGCCATGGCTCACGGGCCCAGCCGCTCCGCGTCATGTGGGATCTTCCTGGACCGGGGCACGAACCTGTGTCCCCTGCATCGGCAGGCGGACTCTCAACCACTGCGCCACCAGGGAAGCCCTGATCAGTGATTCTTTTTGTGCTTATTACATGGTTCCTGAGATCATCTTAAAGAATGTATCAAATCTGCTTAATCTACCACTCTATCTGGTGAAGAAATGTTTTAAAACATTAAGAACGCACACAAGTTAATAGATATCATAAAAGAGAATCACAGAAATGTTGAGCTTCAGGATCATCTGGTCCAACAATTTTATCCTGTTCTATAAAAAGTCAATGAATTCCTTTTTCCAAATGTGCTTGGACCCCAAATCTATAAAAGAGTTATAAATGTAGATGCTTAGGTTGAAACAGATGGAATGAAGGGCCAGGGTCCTCCTTGCTCTGATGATATCTTTACTCCCAGCCTCCAGGAGGTTTCGTGGGATACCATAGTTTCAAAATCAGTGCTCTGAACCAACTCCCTCACTTATGCGCGAGGAAACTGAGTACCAGAAGGTCAAGGAACCTGCCCGTGGTCAAGTGGCAGCTTGCATAAAAGAGCTACAAGTTTCCAAGTCCTGGTTTACTATATTTATTTATTAAAATACTTAACCAGTGATGTGGCAGTAACCAAAATGCACATCTGGAGGGGAGAGTCAAAAGCAGAATTCGAAGTTTTACAAATTTATTTATGTATAAATATATGTATAAAAATGTATATATTATATATACATATATTTAACCACAATTATGGTTAATGAACATAACATTGCATAAAATAATGGGAAAGAAATATATCACATACTGACTGAAGTTCTACTTGATGATGGGCCTGGGGACATTTTCTACTTCTCTCCCACCTACTTTTCTTTAATAAGCATGTATTAATTTTGTAATAATCATTTAAAATTTAAAAAAAAAGAAAAGTTAAAAATAAAAGACCTAGCTCTCTAACAAAGCATCATGGTTAATGAAACATGGCCTTTGGCAAAAGACAGACCATAGTTTGACTTTCAGCATCTCCATGGATAACCTACTACTTGAACTTCAGCTTATTAATCTCTAAAATGGACATAATCAAATATCTCCTTCACAGGGGTGTTGTCAGTACTTTAAACACCACATGCGAAAGTTGATGATACACAACCTAGCACTAAAAAGGGTCTGCTTTTTTGTTTCTGTTTTTGTTTTCTATGGCTGAGTAGCATTCCATTGTAAATATATACACTACATCTTCTTTGGCCATTCATCCATGGGTGCACACAGGTTATTTCCATATCTTGGGTACTGTAAATAATGCTGCAATGAACAAAGGGGTATATATGCCTCTTTGAATTAGTGTTTTCCTATTCTTCAGATAAATACCCAGAAGGGGAATAGCTGGATCACATGGTAGTTCTCTTTCAACTTTTTTGAGAACCCTTATACTATTTTCCATAGTGGCTGCATCAATTTACATTCCCACCAAGTGTACACTTGCCATTTTTGACAACATGGATGGATCTAGAGGGTATTATGCTAAGTGGAATAAGTCATATGATACCACTTATATGTGGAATCCAAAAAAAAAAAAAAAACCACAACAAAACAAAACAAAACTTACAGATACAGAGAAGACATTGGTGGTTACCAGAGGAGAGGAGGGTTGGAGGTGAGTGAAATCGGTGAAAGAGGAGTCAATTATATGGTGCCCGATGGCAACTAGACTTATTGTGGTGACCACTTTGTAGGGTACACACATATCAAATTATTGTAGAATATAAAACTAAGGTTATTTGTCAATTATGCCTCAGTAAAAAAAGGTAGGGTCTTTTTTTCTTTCTCAAATTTTCTATCATATCCAATAGTTAACTGTCCGCTATAGCTCATGATGAAAACACACTCTCCAATAGTGGGCTAACTTTTTTTTTAATCTCAAAAGAATGTTGTGTTGGGACTTCCCTGGCAGTCTGGTGGTTAAGACTCTGCACTTCTAATGCAGGGGGCGTGGGTTTGATCCCTGGTCGGGCCACTAAGATCCCACATGCCTCAGGGCGTGCCCCCAAAGTAAAAAACAAAATAAAATAAAATAATGTTGTGCTAACTGCAAAAAAACCTGCACAAGTTCGTAGGTTTAAGAGATAGAAATCAGTGACGACAGTGTTTCCTAAGTATGCTTTGCGGAATAATAATCTGATAAAGGGCTCCATGCTTTAAAAAAAAAAAAATCAAATGAGCCTAGGAACTGCATACCATAATCCTTCCTAGGGCCAGCAGTACACATTAGTATGTTAGAAGCTCCTGGAAATCCTCCAGTGAAGAAACTCTACCAGGATTTCTTAAACTGACTTCATCAAGGCTGTCCTGCTCTCCATCCCTTTTCTTCCCTAGTAACTATGAACTCCCTATGGACACACTGGGAGGTACTGGCACAAACAGGACCTGAACTCAGGTCTTCTGATTTCAAAGTCCAAACTTGTCCCTACTGAACCCCCAAATCTGACTCTGGAATGAAAATGGACAGTATGTCCAACTTCCAATTTCCCAGACCAAATAACAATCAACCAAATGGCAGTAAAGCTTAAAAGCTATTCCAGACCTTGCAAAACAGTTGGGCATTGTCTCTTCTGAGCATCTACAGTGCTGTGCACCTTCCCGACATATTCCCTTGTGGTCAAGTGTCTGTCTAGACTCTCCCAGGGGGCTATGAGTGACCATGGAAGGGCTACAATCTTTAAGCATCCATGTGTCTTACCTTCCCAGGGCCCAGAAGGTACTCAATCAATATCTACTCAATATCTAAGGGACTGTCCCTTACAACTAGCAACATGTAGATGGTTTAATGGAAAGTAAAACTACTGAAAATGGCACTGATACTGAAAATTGCTTTCAAACAACTTGAATGGTCAAGGAGAATAAGATGGGCATCCTCCAGAAAGAAATATGAAACCAAAGTGAGTCTCTGGCCACTTAAAAACCACTACAGAGGGGCTTCAATCATCACTACTACTACCTAGAGTGACAAGAAGAAACTCACCAAATGGGAGTCCTGGCAGAATGTCCTGTACGAAAGGAAATCTCTTGGCATCAGACCCCAAACCTCTCTCCAAATATTCCTCAGCAGAATTAGGATAAGAGCCGAGGGAACGCTCAACAGCTTGAAGTGGTTATGAGAACTCTAAAGAAAAATCCTCGATTGGATGTTCAGGCCCAAGGAAACGAACATGGGCTTTTCATACAGGTTCTTCATTTCTCCCCTTGCCTGATGCAGAAGTCCACCAGGAGGGGAAAGCCCCTCAGAACCACAAAGAACAGACCAAGGCCAGGGTACTATTTCACTTCTCTTTGATGAGGAAAGTCAGATAATCTCCTCTTCAGACACAATCATCTTCAAAATAGAAAAATATCAGATGGTAGGAGACCATATAGGGCTATGAGACACACACATGCGCATACACACACACACACACACACACACACACACACACACACACGCTCTCTCTCTCTCTCTCTCTCTGGCACCGCAAGCTTCTATCCAAATGAAGAAACACTAATCTTGCAAAAGCAAGCCCGTCAGGCAGTCTGAGATAGCCAGTAGAACTCTTAAGAGACAGCAAGATAACCCAATAGCTTCCATTAATTGACTAGGACAAAAAACTGTTCACTCCTTAAGACAGTTCCTGTGATTCCCCCCAGTTTGGAATGCTCCTTTGAATCCTCTTCAACAAGTTCCAGATTCTTCCCTTAGCCTTTAAGGTCCTTCTCTGCAAAGCCTTTCCTGGCCACTCCTTCACAATCTTTCCCCCCTCTCTGAATTCCTACGTCACTGTTATCTGTGCCACAAAATATCATTTCACTGTCTTGTGTGCACGATGTGGTAGAAAGAGCACCAGCTGTGTGAGGCCAGGAGCCTGCAGTTGAGACCCAACTCAGCTACATCTCTTCTTGACAAAATCCTTTAACCTCTTCAAGCTCAGATTCCTCTGGAAAATGGGATTAACAACTACCTTACCTACCTTCCCATGGGCTGCTACTGCTGTGACGAGCATGTAAAAGGAATGAAAGCTATTAATTACTCCAAGAAATACGTCTTGCTCTTTTTGTAATATCCTGCTTCCTTTCTATTTGCCCAACAGGGCCCATAGTGACATTTCATAACTATTTAATGAAGCTGCCACTTCCAAATGGCATTTTTAAAAGTCCAAATCATTCGGACACACATGAGGAAACACATCTTTCCGAATTTCATGAGAAAATAAAATTTATATTTCAAGCAAGATCTGAAGCTTGAAAATGAAGGCATACACGCAGCTTTCCTGCAGCTGATGCTGAAATCACGTGATAGGGAAAATACTCATTTCTATGGAAGTAACTATTGGGCAGCTACTCAGTACTTCAAAGGCCACAGCTAAAACATGAGGACTTACTCACTGACCCCAGGGTCTGGCTGTAGGAGGAGAGGTGAGACAGTGACTGCCCCCTGGACCCATACACTCAACTTAGAACATACTGTGGTGTTTCTGAGAAGGGAAAGGCAAACTGCTTTCATATCTAGACCCAGAAGACTGTACGTTAGGCTGGACTCAGAAAACAACTATTACCACCA